ATAGAAACTAATCACTAAGATCTTCTTCTTGTATGAACCTTCACTTGATATGAGTTGATCAAGATATCACCTGCAAGATCCACAGTCAATCCTCCACTGCATGACCTGTTTGCGAAATCACCCCGATTTCCAAACCCTACGCTACGGCTGAATCTGACCTGTGCAATCGTGACTGACAAACCCACAAGAACACACCCGTTATTGAAGGACAAACCCTCTGGTTTTTCCTCGAAATCCACTTTTGAATCTTCAACTTAGCTAAGATCACCGATCGTACCACTGAATGTTATCTCTATGGTCCCTTGATCCGATGAAAAAAGATGATTATGTTTCAATGTTATTGAATCAAGATGATTGAGAAGATGATGAAGATTGAACTCTCTTTCAGGTTTCTAATGCTCAGAAAAGTAGATGCTTAACAATTGAATTTGTGACACCTTCTTTTTTTTGTTATTGAACTGCAAAACTGACTTATATATGTAACAGAAAAATGTTAGAAGTAAAACCGCAGTATGAGTCGATGCATATCTCATATGAGTCGACTAATGTTAGTTACAAAACATGGGATGAGTCGATACAATGCATTATGTATCAATACATACTGTTATCAAGACATATTACAGAGAGACAAAACGTGTATGAGTCGATGCAAAACACGAATGTGTCAATGCAACCAAGAAATGAGTCGATGCAAACCATTATGTATCGATACAAACTGTTTTCCACACATAATCCAGAACCTTTAATTTCGTATGATTCGATACAAAATGTGAATGTCTCAATTCATACTGAGTTGGTTTTGATTTCCAAAAACAAGAAATGATATGTATCGATGCATAAACGTTTTTAAAACATTTTCCAGAAGCATGAACTTGACATGTATCAATGCAAAGTGCGAATGAGTCAACTCATACTGAAGCACAATTGTTTTTGTGATTTTAGCTTATGTGTCGATGCAAAGCATTTTGTATTGACCTGAAATCATGATACATGTGTAAAACACATTTTTGACCCTTTTAGAACATGCTACACTATTACCATATCATGCACACATAGAGATCAAACATAATAATCATTCATTAATACTTATATCACACATATTTGCTATCATACAAAACTACTCAAAGAAACGGTTTGCTCACACAAAACCCTTGGTTTCAATCCGAAATGTAAAAAACGCCCTCCTGGGTCAGTCTTGGTGAAAAATCACAAAAATATGTTTAACCAACGCATCATCCAACACGGACCGTGTCAGCTGACATGGGTGGCCATGTTGGCCATCCTAAAGCTTCACTCAAAATTGCTCATTTAATCTGTTGGCACGGCCCGTGTCAGGTGACACGGGTGGTTGTGTCAGCCCCCTTGAAATTCTTCTTCTTTCCACGCTTCTCACCCGATACTGCATTTTTCTTTCCGTGAAACTTTCGTTTTCTTGACTTCCTCGCATCAAGTATCTTGGATCCTTCACTTGAACTTGGAACAGTTACAACAATATAGCAAAGCATAACATGCAAAAGTACATGAAATAAACTCAAAACCATAAAATGCTTAAGAAACTTAATAAACATAAAACTGACTCAGACGAAAACAAAATATGGAACAAAATAGTGTAGAATACCTGGATTGTAGTCGGACAAGTAACCAAAATATAGTGAAAATGGTGACCGATCATGAAGCACCACCCACTCTCACCACCAATATCATCAAGAAGTAACTTGACAAACCAGCTTCAAGAGTCCTTGGTCAAGCCTATCTGCAACCCCAATCTTTAACTTGTCAACAATCACTTTAGCACTTTCTTCCATATTTGTGTTTATGAAATAAAGGTTTGATCTTAAATGTTGTAGTTCTTAAAACTATGCTAAATCGGACAACGTAGCTACATTTATTTTTTGTCCTTCCAAACAACCCTACACATGTTCACATTAGCAGCCAAATACAATAAATTGGATTGCTCACACTACTACAGAAAACCTATTTAACAACGATTTGAAAACCCATATAATCACGCTGATCCAGGAGTTGTTGTGTAGAGTGTTGTTGTAAATGTGTTACTTACAATCACAGTCTTGAAACTGTTGTAGTATACTGGAAAATTCGTGTGATATCACAACGGTTAGTTAACTTAACTGTTGTTGTATGTCTTTTAATATATAAAAAGTAGTAGAAAAACAATAGCAGTAAGAACAACAAAAACAACAACAAGAACAACATGAACAACATGAACAACAACAAGAACAACAACAAGAACTAGAAGAACAACAACAAGAATAACAAAAACAAGAAAAAGAACAACAAGAACAACAAAAACAAGAAGAAGAAGAACAACAACAACAACAACAAAAACAATAACAACAAACAACAACAACAACAACGACATACAACAACATACAACAACAACGTACAACAACAACAAGAACAACAACAACAATAACTAAAAAAAGAACAATAAGAACAACAACAACTAACGTTGCTAACTTGAATCAATACTTTCCTTGTCTCATTCAAGATGGAGAATAGATGTTTTCGAGTTTTACTTAAGGAATAAATGATATTTCGAGCTTGGTTTAGTGAAGAAATAAAGTGTCATAAATGAAAGATGATGTTTGAAGGTAGAAGATGAAGTTTGTTTAAGTTGGAAGTTTGTCTAAGTTTTAGGTTTCATGTGGATCGCTAACGGTGGTGTCTTGAGCATTGATAGTCACTTGAATGGACGATTGAGATTTATTTAAGGATTGTGAATAAACTCTATAATTATGCTACATACAACAACGATTGTATTAAATAACAGTTGTTGTATGTATTTTAATAAAATATAAAAAATACAGCACTAGAAAAGCAACCAGAGCAAGATTCGAACTCATGACCATGTGCGCTACATACAACAACGGTTGTATTAAATACCCGTTGTTGTATGTCTTTTAATAAAATATAAAAAAATACAGCAGTAGAACAACAATAACATCAAGATTCGAACTCATAACCATGCGCCACTTTTTACCACGGTTAAAACTTCCAACCGTGGTGAAAAGTGACTAAACTTTAAAGAAAAAAATGCCTAGTAGAATAGATTCTACTACGGTGGATCCTTTGATGTGGTGACTTAGGGGGTGTTGTTTATGCGTTTTATAGTAGTGTCAGTTTCTGCACTGAAGAAAAATCTGAATGACTATTAGATGATTGTGAAATTCCTTGAAAATAATTATGAGCTTGTGAAAGTTGGTGACATTGTAAGAACTCAAATGTTTATGTTTGTTTCATTTACAACGGCAAGAATGCAAAAATCTTCTTGAGTGTTTACTATTTATTATGTTGAGTCTTAATCCCTATTTAGAAAAAATTATGGGCAAGAATTAAAATCAACTTGAAATCCATCAATCAAAACTCAACACCGATCACAAGACATAATTCCCTAATTAAAATCAAAGGTAACTAACAAAATTGAAAATTGAAATCATTACATTTGAAATTCATATACAGAAAACAAATTCAGACATAAACCCTAATTCCCAAATTAAAATATCCATATATAGAAAACAAATTCAAGCATAAACCATAATTCCCAAATTGAAATCAAATTTAACACCTCCAATTATACTTTATTCGAAATCAGTAAATCTTAATAACTAATTTCAAATAAATATAACAAACAATTTCATATTCACCTTAGCAATTGTGTCTTCAATGCGAATCTCGCCCTCGAATGATTAGTGTGGTGTTATGTTCGATGAGTGATTGAATCAAATAACACTATTAGAGATGTTTAGACAAAGAATTTGAGAACGCCATAGAATCGGAATCTGAAGTTGCTATTAGAGAGATTTTGACTGTGATTAAAAATTATTTGGAATGTGAGGTTGCTATTAGAGAGTCATGTTGGAAGAATGATGTTGGGATAACGTGTGAGGTTGGTGTTTGAAGTAATCCAAAAATGATGGTTTGAAGATGAAAAAATGAAGAACGAAGAATTGATATTGATTCACTTTATTTTTTAATTTGTAACTTACAAATTATTATATAGTTTAAATTTAAATAAATATTATTTTTGTATTTATAAATTATTATTAATTTAATGAATATTGATATGTAATAAATAAAAAGTTTTAAATAAAAATAGACTCACTATAAATGTCTTGTACTATAACGTTGTTATGACATTAATTAAATTAGAACTTATTTATTATTGATTAGATAAATGACTTCACCAAAAAAATAATTTTAATGACTTCATCCAATTTTTTTTCTTTCAATTTTCAAATTAAGACATATTATAACCAAATCAAGATTACGCAGAGTTGTCGGAACCAATTAAATTGGTGCCAAGGTGCCAGGAAAATTCTCCACACCTTCTAACATATGATAAACCCAAATTCATGTTTTATTTCATATTATTTGAAATGAAATACTTTTAAAAGCTTATCCAATGATTGACAAAATTAAATATATCGGTGAAATCCTAAACACAATATGTTAGTTGACAAAAATAAACACATTACTTCTTTACTTTTATTTTTTTGTTAAAAAGTAAACACATTTATATCAATAAAAAAAATTAAATACAAATGAAGACATGTGATCTACAGTAAGTTAAAGGTGTTACTCATAGAAACTTTATTATTGTAATTGTGTTTTTGTTTATTAATTTTAAATTTACTATATTTTTCTAATATCTCGCCAATTTTATCTTATATCTGTTTAACATATGATCTTACCATAAGCAATATCTATGAGAGTGCAGAGAAAAAAAAGTAAGTTTTGTGATTGGAGTGTAAGAATTTAGGAGTGAAGTGATAAAAAGATTGATAGTTTGATCCCACTTCTAATAGAATGCTAATAGTTACTAATACTGTAATATAAATATTGACTACTTTATAAGAGTGCAAAATCTTCACTCGTTATGATAAGTTTTTCGCACCTTAAAGGCTTAAACATAGTACATTGGACGTTGTAAAAACATTAGATAAAGTTACGTAGCCTCACGTATTCATCATGTTTAATGTTTAATGTTTACTCCCACCACCTCCACCAGTGCCAGAACCAGTACCACTACCGGATCCTTGGCCAGCTCCTACACCAACTCCAATTCCAATACCAATTCCTATACCAACTCCTCCTCCACCACCATGACCTCCACCTAAACCTGCGCCACTTCCACTTCCTACACCACCACCTGCACCAAAGCCTCCTCCATGTCCGGAACCACCACCTATTCCTCCTCCTCCTCCACCTCCACCGCCACCTCCGCCTCCAGAACCTCCGCCAACACCACCTCCAACTCCGAATCCTCCACCATGTCCTGAGCCACCATTCGAACCACCACCACCACCGCCTCCTCCTCCTCCACCACCACCTCCAATGCCTCCTCCAACTCCACTACCTACACCTCCACCAGCACCAAAACCTCCACCATGTCCTGATCCACCACCGATTCCACCTCCACCACCTCCTCCACCACCAAGACCTCCGCCAGCTCCTCCGCCCACACCTCCACCGGCACCAAAACCTCCACCATGGCCCGATCCACCACCTAATCCACCTCCACCACCACTGCCTCCTCCTCCACCTCCACCAAGACCTCCACCAGCTCCACTACCTACACCTCCACCGCCACCAAAACCTCCACCATGGCCCGATCCACCCCCTAATCCACCTCCTCCACCACCACCAAAACCTCCACCTCCTCCTAATCCTCCACCTTGTCCGGACCCACCTCCAAGTCCTCCACCACCACCAAACCCTCCTCCTCTTCCAACTCCACCCCCAAAACCACCACGACCACGACGTCCACCCCAACCTCTACAACGAAGTCCACGTCCAAATCGACAATCATCTCCAAATCTGTCTTGGTGAAGCTTCTGATCACCAAGAATAAAAATACTAAGATCAAGAATAATACAAAGAAGGAGAACACTCACAGAAAACCATCTCCCTTGAAACCCCATAAATACCCAATAAAAACAAAAAACTCTTTCACAGTTAACTAATGTACTTCACTGCTCTAGTAGATAGATATTCACAACTATGCTTTTTATAGGCTTCGTCCAGTATGAGAGTGCATTAAATTTTGCGTGTTTTTTGAACCGTTGGGGAAGTAGCGGGAAGCTTTAAAAGAAAACAAGTGGAACAATGATGAAAGTCAAAACCTCCAACGTGGTCTGATGCATATAGTTGGATCATTCATATGTGATCTATTGGTCAACGTTGAATATTGGCCTTCATAAATATGAGCCAAGACTACCACACGGCCTTTGTTTTACATCGCTTTCATGTTTCAGGATAGTTATCTTCACACTCATTCTTACACTACATCATATACTGCTATTCATCAATGTAGGGAATAGTGTTTTTCTTAGATTAAATAATATATTTTATAAACAGTATAATAAATAGTGTTTGAACAATGTATGAATAGTACTGTAAACAATGAACAGTACAATGATCGGTTTATGCGCGATAATTTTTATTAGTAAATTAAAAGTTGATTAATAAAATATAAAAAAAAAGTTTAATTAATTGATAAAATTGGTTAATAAATATTCAGATTAAAAAAAAAATAAATAATAAAATACAGTTGATTAATGAAATATAAAAAATTAGTTAATGAAATGATAAAGTTAGTTAATAAATGTCTATATATTAAAAATAATTTAGTTATAAAATAAAATTGGTTAATAAAAAATAAAAAATTAATTAATGAAATAGTAAAGTTGGTCAATTAACAATCACATGTTAAAAATAATTTTTGGTTGTAAACAAATTTGATTAATGAAAAATAAAATGTTGGTTAATAAAATTACGAAGTTGGTTAATAAACGTTTAAATAATAAAAAAAGTTTTTAATAACACTATAAAGTTGATTAATGAAATATAAAATATTGATTAATAAAGTTATCAAATTGATTAATAAACATCTAAAAATTAAAATTAAATTTTTATAATAATATAAAATTGATTAATAAAATATAAAAAATTAGTTAATAACGTTATGAAATTGGTTAATAAATATCTGAATATTAAAATTAAATTTTTGTAATAAAATTAAATTAGTTAATAAAAAAGTTGATTAATTATATTATTTTATATTATTATTTATAAATCTATAAATAAAAAAATATTTTTTAATAAAAAATAAAAAAATTATTTAAAAGAATATTTATTATTATAATATTTAACTGGTCAACATACAGTATAGTGTAATAGTGGGTGTCAAGATAACATTTTTATTCATGCATGGTTGTGAAAAAATAATACTGGGGTGTAAAAACCTGAACCAACGATGAACCTGAAATTTTATGCAAAATAGATATTTGAATTAGCTTGACCTTTTCTACCTACAATACAATAGACTAAATCCAATTAAACCAAATCCATTGGACCTCTAATTATGTGAATATTAATTTCAAATATTTTCAATCAATCAATTTAAGATCTAAATGAAATTAACTATATTATTATTTTGTAATTTATACTCTCTCTGTTTTTTTATTATAAGTTGTTTTAGAAGAAAAAAATTGTATCATAATATAAATCGTTTTATAATACTAATGATTAATTAATATTATTTTATATATTATATTTTTAAATGTTTATTATTATTTTTCATTTTAATTATATAAATATATCTTCTCTATATTATTAATGAAATGAAGGACACTTTTATAAAACTTTTATAATTTTTCATTTTTATATAATAATAATTATTTTTCTTTTAAACGTATGAAAAGTCTAAAATAATTTATAATAAAAAACTGAGATAGTATTATATAGCCTTTATTAGTCTGGAAATCATTTTCTACAGAATGACAATTTAAAACTTCTATACTTGCCTTCAATTACTGTACACTATATAGTTTTTTTTTATTTTAAAAATAGATCTAGAAAACATTTCTACAAAATTTATAGAATCATCTTTTTAGGAATTGAATATCTTTGGTGTAATGGGCGACACAATTTTTCCTCAGAAGAATTTAACATTTTCACTTGTTCAAGACCGCATTTGAATCTAGCATCCATGGTTAATTATAATAAGATTCATTAGCATTTCATTTAAATGCGGTTGAAGATCTATAAAATCATTTGACTGAGTATAATTATAAAATATTTTACATTATATAGATAATAATGTTATATTTACAAAAGGACTTGTAGAAGATATTTTACATAGGGATTTTCTGGTGTCGGGGGTAGATGGAGTATCCGTGACGGTAGTAATATTAAGGTCATGACCGACCTGTGGCTTCAAAAACGTGGTAATAGGTGGTTGAATGGTCCTTAGATGGAAGGAGTATATGATCTTTATGTAAAAGAATTTTTTTTTGCCTGAGAGTAAACAATGGGACATGAGTAGATTATATCATATATTTGGTATGGAAGGGGTTGAAATTGTTCTTAAAGTTCTGTTGGTGGCGGATGTAGTGGAAGATAGAATTATTTGGCAAGAGGAGCGCAATGGCGTGTATAGTGTAAGTCGGGGTATAGGTTATGGAGGAAGATCCAAGATAATTATCGTCATTATACTGTGGAGGATAATTGGAGCAATCTTTGGAATATAACCGCACCACCTAGAGCTAAACATTTACCGTGGCGGATTTGTAGAGGTTGTTTACCGACATGATCCAATCTCTAACATCATCAGGTCCAATGTCCTCCTATTTGTCCTTGCTGTGAGTTGGAGAACAAAGACGAGTGACATGTCTTTTTTGGATGTTCTTCTACGTTTCAAAGTTGGCGGGCAGCAGGTTTGTCCTTTATTATTGACCCGCATTTGCATTCGTTCCATGATGCTAAGTCCCTCATTCTTGATGTTCGTAGTAAAGAAGATCGTCGGGCTGCAGGCAGATTTGCTGTTTTGCTTGATGTTCTTTGGCGAAGTAGGAACAAAGTGGTTTGGAATGAGACTCGAGAGGATGTTATGAAGATTGAGTTGCAAGCTTATTACAATTGGCGTGATTGGTTCTTAGCAAGAGAAGATGTTAGTGCTGACAATGTTATTAACCATCCTGCAATTTGGAGTCCGCCTATGGAAGGATGGATGGAATATAATGTTGATGCGGGTTTTAATAATATGTTGGGTACTACAAACAGAGGTTGGTGTGCAAGGAACCATCTGGTAGTGTTATTACTGCAGGTGTGACCCAGGATTATGGTGTTTTATCTCATATGGAAGCTGAAGCCATAACCTTGAAGGAAGCGGTCCAAAATGCTATCTCATTATAATTTTCTCATGTCTATTTTGAAAGTGATTGCCAAACTGTTGTTAAAACACTTTTCTCTAAGCATTTAGGTTGCTCTAAATTTAGTTTCATTATTATGACTATTAAGAATCTTCTGAACTTGTTTCCGAACATTAAGGTAAAGTTCATTAAGCGCCAAGCGAATTTAGTTGTCCATACGTTATTTAAGGCGGCCAATTTTTGGACTAGGCGCGGTATCCTTAGTATGATACATTTGTGTATTGAACACTTCTTGATTAATGATAATCATTAAGTTTATTCTTGTAAAAAAAAAAAAGGATTGCATTTGAATCTTGAATCCATGGTTAATTATAAGGAGATTCATTAGCATTTCATTTAAATGCCGTTGAATTCTATAAAATTATTTTACTGAATATAATTATAAAATGTTTTACATTATATATATATATATATATATATATATATATATATATATATATATATATATATATATATATATATATATATATATATATATATATATATATAACAACAATCGGCAGAATAAATCATCGAGATGAAATTAATGAAGTCGCCATCAAACGTTTTTATCTCACATGAAGGGAAAGATAAACATTGAATAAATTTGAGAAGAGTGAAATCACCATCATACGACCGAGAGATACAGGTAAGGGAGTCTATTACGCAAGGGGAATGTATTAACATTCCTCACGTCTGTGGTACTCTATGAGATCCACTCTTGTTGTTCTAATCAAATGCTGTGTTCAAATCTACAGCTTAAGGTTTACCAGAAATAAAATAAAGGGGAAATGCATGGAAAATAAAACACATGGAAAAGATGCAAATATTTACAAAGTTTGACCAATGCCTACGTATCCCTTTTAAGGAATCAGGGCGTTGTAGTTCGGCTCACATGTTTCTGTTTGTTGTGTGTTTTTTATGGATAGTGCTACATTTACATCCTTATGGTTAGGATTGTAATTCGTGCTTGGCGTTGCAGCTCGTAAAGAGACTCATGCTCGGCCCCTTGCACACTTAGTATTTCCAAGTTGTTCGAATTTAAAATAACATATCCTTATCGAAAAGGTTTAAATAGAAAAGGAAAGTCTGGACAAAAAGATTTGCATTTGTTTGTATTTTTGTTACTTGTGAAAAAAGTTTGCAATTTGAACCGTAATAAAGTTCGGAGTGAAAATAGAGCAAGATTCAGTCTAGACCGATCCGCTTTACCCCACAAGACTCAAATGCGCATGGCTTACACATTTAGTTATTAGGTATTTTTAGATTTGCCAAGAAAAAGAAGTTTTAGTTTTAATGCAAGAAATCAACATCAATTTACCGGATAAAAATCAAGATCTATATCGATTATGTAATTTCTTAAACCAATTCCGGATTTCAACATCATCACCAAATCAAGAAATCAAATATCTCAAGTAACTTTCATAATTCAATTCACATTATGTCAACTCAAATTAATCTCAACAAACAAGTATAATTAAAGAATTCAATTCAAATCATCTCAAATCACACAATCAATTATGTAATAAGCAATTAAGTGAAAGATATTATGTGAAATTACCGAACAAAAGCGAATCGGAGAAGTTGATGTGAGATGTTACCGGAAAATGTAATCGGCGCACAGAGGAAGAATCGAGGCGAACTTGCGATCGGACGAAGGGCAGTAGTCGCGAATCCGCGGCGGTTAGACAGAGAAGATCCGGCTTCGGCTGGCGGTGCTAGGCAGAGAC